TCAAAATAATGTATGATCAAATATCTGGGCACCTCATGGGCCAGACAACTTGACACATAAAATTAGCTACCAGAAGGGTCTACCCGTATATCCCATCTCTTAGTAGCACCAGCCCTTACACACCAAGGGCATGTAAGCAGCTGATAATGTTCGGGGGTTGGGGCAACCTCAGGCCTCAGACTGCAGTGCATGGAGCCCTGGGACAATTAGAGAAGCATTATTTTGCAGGGGTGGAGGCGTGGGCGGAGAGGCTCTGAATTAAAGAACCAGACACACAATCCAAAAAAGTCATCAGTGCAGAGAGGAAGATTCTGCGTTCAAACCAGTAGAACAAAACCCAGACAAGAGGGAGACAATTCAAAGCAAAAAATGCCAGCTGGAGTCAGGAGAAACTCCCTGATCTAGGGAGTGCAGGAGACGTTTCTCTTCCTGGTGTAAGTTGGACCGGGGGTCTGAGAATAACCAGCCTGAACCCAGTGTCTTCCTCCCTCAGCTCTAAACTCCTCCCTGTGACAAAGGGGTTGGAGGATCCCCACTGCCTGTGGGAAGGAGGCACCAAAGGTGTCTGACACACTTCAGGAAGCTTTTCATAACCACTCTTCTTGCTGAGAGCGTTTTGGGGGGACCAAGTCATGAAGAGGTCACAGCCCCCTATCTGCCACGTAGTCAGGTCCTCCAGCGCCAGCTGACGGGGCAGTCAGGGGGTGCCAGACAGGAAGTGTGTGGTGTGAAGCCATGAGGAGAATGGGTGGGCAGTGAGCCCTCTCCCTGGAGAGAAGTCTGTCGGGAGCCTACCGAACCCCCTGTTCTACATTCCGAGGATCGAGGATCGCTACAGTGTACACAACAGAGCTTTACCCTTGTAGAACTTACATTCCAGCAGGGGGTAAAATCAGATGGTAAACAAAAAATAAATAGGATGACAGAGTGAGAAGGAGGGAGAGTGAGAGGTGCAGGGGGGCAAGAAAGGAAAGTTCTGGAGATGGTGGTGGTGAGGGGCCCCACCATTCCCTCCGATTGGCCTGGGTGGGATTATGAGAATCTGGGCCAAAAATAAAGGTAGCAACACCCTCCTTCCAGGCCCCGGATGAAAGCAGAGTACAGCTAGATGCCCTCAGGCAGTGGTTTTTTGACATTTTTTTATTTGACATGTAGGTCAGGAAAAACGTTTCACATCAAAACGCGGTCAGTCCATGCATTCTTTTCTACCTAATTTTTGAAAAAATGACGGTCATGACTCAGCACCTTGAGCCTATGAGCCACTGGCCAATGGATTCTACACCGTGGCTGCTGGTTCAGTGCCCCTGCCGGGCCCTGCAGAATGCAGATGCTGACACCACACCTGTGGGGGTTCTCAGCTGGAAAATCTGGAGCAAGGCCTAGCAGCCACATTTTTAAAACCTTCCAGGTGATTCTAATGTGCAGGGTTGTGATCCATTGGTGCTGTTGGGTAGTGACCCATGTTGTGAAAACCACTGCTTGATGGGTTGAGCTAATCAGCAACCATGAGGTGGGGAGGTTTTCCCATTCTCTGGTCCATCATCCTACCTGGTGTGCAAGACATGGGAAGATGGGAAGAAAAATCAGGCTGTTGCCCCTGCATCCGCTGGGGTCACTGGACAGAGAAGCGCTGTCCTAGTTTGTAGAGCAGTTTTGACGCAGTGAACCCCTCTCATCAGGAGTGGTGGGAACTCCAAGTGCCCAGGGGCCAGAGAAGGGCCAGTCTTGCAAGCAGGCCTTTCTGAGGATTGCAGTCCCAGCCCCATGATGCTAGGTCTTCTCTGCACACTCTTCCTTATCCTTGTCCTATCCCTTTTGACCACTTACATCTGCTTTTCCCGCCTAGTGAGAAACACAACTTGGAGCCATATGACATCATAATATATTCAAGCTGTCCCAGGACAGGCTGCCTGAGGAAACTTCCCAGACAAGATGGTAGGGGGCCTCGTTCCTTAAATGGTAGAGTTCAGGCATTGCTGGAAGCAGTAGAGGTTTCCAATAATAAATGTGTTGATACTTTGGTCATCTGCATAAAAGAAGAACTTGCCACTTTGGTTTACAGAGATTGGCCAGAGAGCCTATTCCAAGGGCCTTAGCCACAGGCTCTAGAGGTACACAACTGGGGTGATGTGATGTTGCTAAAGCGCATTGCACAGCCACACACACGAGGGTAGTTTCTCCATAGCCAAGCCTGAAAAATCTCTGCATACAATGACAAATATTTGTCTGGGATCCAGGCCCTACGGTGGCAGTCAGGAGATGGTTGGATTTGTGGTCTGAATTGTATAGTAAGCAAGAGCTGATGAGGTCAATGGCTTTTGACCTTGCTTGCACATTAAAATTATTGGGGGGGGGGTGTTGTGGTTTTGCTCTTTTAAAATTAAAAACCAATGTCTGTGTCCTATTCCCAGAGATATGGATTAACTGGAACAGGGTGGGGCTCAGGCGTCAGTATTATTTAAAATTATTTAAATTATTTAAAAAGCATCTTGTGATATAATAAAATGCAGCCAGGTTAGAGAACCACTGTCTGGAAGAAATACATAGTTCATGAACATTTGCCAGCTTCTGGACCAAATGTCACCATATGCAGTTCCATGGGAGCAATCTTATGGGTGTCCGATACCATGGCGGTCCTTCTGCAGTGTCCACTCAAACCAGGAGCCATGACACAGAGGAAGAGGAAGGGCAGTTCTCTTGAAAGGGAAGCTGTTGCCATCATGGACCTGTTGGCCAAGTCTCACTGAAGAACAAGCAGTCTAGAAAAAGCAGGTGACAATGGTTGGAGACCCCGCTCAGAAGCACCGCAGTGGTCAAGCAGACACAAGTACCTTACAAAATTGGCATAAAGGGAGCCATCAAGAAAGTGGCTTTCCCTTTTCTAAGAAAGATTAGCACAATAGGAAACCACTAGCTATACTCCCTGTAAGACCCACTGGGAAAACACTAGTCACATGGATTCAAGGAACCAAAATCTCATCTGATGGTCCCAAGGGCCATATATCTGAAGAGAGTCTTGCTGCAGGAGGATAAAGGGGCATGTAGATCATTTGAGCTAATTTGTGAGAAGGTCCCAGGCAAAAAGGACCTGGCCAACTTCCTTGGACTGGATATTATTCGTAACATTCTCTGTGCTCCCTGGTCAAAAATGGCAGATCATGATTGAAGCTCATGTAGGCTCCATAGCTGTGGATGGGGGTATTTCCTTCATCCATTCTGTGTAGGGATATGTTTCCTCTGGCTGCTGTAAAAATTACCCCAAATGGAGCAGTATGGAACAACACCAGCTTATTTTCTTATTGTTTTAGAGGCCAGAAGTCTGAAATAAGTCTGATTTGGTAAAACCAAGGTGCTGGCAAGATTGCGTTTCTTCTGGAGACTCTAGCCATTTGCTGGCTTTTTCTAGCTTCTAGAGGCTTTCTGCATTCATTGGATTTTGGTTCCTTCCTTACATCCCTCAGACCTCTGCTCCTTGCCACACCTCTTTCTCTAACTCTGACCAGCCTGTTGCCTTCTCTAAGGACAGGAGTGATTGCATTGGGCCCACCCAGATATTCTATTTCCCATCTCAAGATCTTTAACTTAATCACACCTGCAAGTGCCTTTTGCTGTATAAGGTACTATATGCTCAGGTTTCAGGGATAAGGGTGTATTTGGAGGCAATGCAGATGTCAGGGGATGTCTTCTATCACAGTAGGTTAAGGAAAAAAAAAAAAAAAAGCATTGTCAGATTCACAAGATCCCTTATGCTCAGTGCTATGGGATTGGCCAAATCTGGAAAAAGATGATAAAAAGCCTGAGCAGAGAGGTACAGATCAATGGTTTCAAAGCCATGAGATGATCCCAAGCAACGCTGGGAAAGACAAAAAAGGCATAAAAGAAGTTTATCCTTCCTGTGATGTTTTTGCTCAAAAAGACAAATGATGAAGAAGCACAACATTGATTTGTGAAAACTCATGTAGCTTCACGGTGCAGACAGTTCTGGAAAATGGGAGCTAAAGTTAGATGAATTGATGGGTGTGATCCCCGTATCCAAAAATCTATTTAAAGATCAAGGCTTACGAATGGTGACCAAAAAAAATCTAGTGAAAACATAGTTAAAGGAGAAAGGGTATCTTTCTTTCTTTTCTTTCTTTCTTTTCTTTCTTTCTTTTCCTTCCTTCCTTCCTTCCTTCCTTCCTTCCTTCCTTCCTTCCTTCCTTCCTTCCTTCTTTTTTCCCCCGGTGCAAAAAGGTGATTTTATTAAAACACGGGGACAGGACCCGTGGGCAGAAAGAGATGCTGCCAGAAAGGGTGTTTTTCATCTATTTAACCTCAAAGCACTCAAGACTCATGAATTTTGGGGGTGTCGTGTGTCTTACAGGTTAATTATTGCCTTGCTCATTAGCACTCAAACCCTTTCTGCAGTGATTCCAGGCAGCACTGGAATAGGAACTGTCTAAATTGGAAACCCAGAAGCCAACCCTGGGACAAGGCTCCACGTACAAGGAGCTGATGCAGGAGGAAGGGAAACCCTGGCCTGGAGTGGGGGAGTGGCGAGGGAGGGAGACAGCCAGTAGTCTATGTGATGCAGCCAGACACCGCTGCAGGCGACTGAAGCTTCATCCTGCTGGGAAACTGGGCGCCACACACCTCTGATGGATTTCTTGGAGGCACCAGGCAGCTGGGGCTTTTGAACACCCCTCCCCAGCAGTCGTTGGTTGAGGACAGCTCCTAGGGGCTGGCAGCCCTTGGCATTTCCAGTCTACTCAGCAAGAGGCAAAGGCAAAGCCTCTAGAAAAAGAGGCAAGAGAAAGCCCTGGGGCTACAAGAGGCAGATTTGACAGTTCAAAATGGTGGTCTTGGAAAGTTGTAAAGTCTGGGGGCAGGGGCAGGGGTACGGAGCACTAACCTGTAAACAACTAGCCTAACCACTGGGATGGTTTCAAATTGGGTTGTCTCTTACTGTGCATCATGGTTACTCTACCTTGGTTAAAATAATCAGAAGAACAGGACCAAGACGGGTACAACTTTAATGCTTCTGTAATTATATTTTAGAATAGAACAGGATGATTGATACCAGGTTTCATAGCTTTTGTGTTTCAAAACATTCAACTGAAGTCTGCATTTTGAATTATTTTGTAAAATGACATTTACATGATGTAGAATGAAGCAATGAAGTCTTAGATGATGACAACACAAAGAACGAAAGCTAGTAAGCATAAATTTTGACTTTGTGGACTTCCTTGTCGTCACACTCCCTCTGTTTGTTGTAGTAATAGAAAGTATTGTCCCTTCTCTGGAGTTTCTTCACGTATCCCGTCTCTGGCCAACGATCTACCTGCACATCAGAAACCAGAATACAAATACTATGATGCTGGTTTTATTTTTATATAATAATTTATTATCAAATAGTTAACAGTATATCTCACATCCAAAAATTAAAGCATAAAATTAAATCTAAAAATACTTGAGCTCTCAAGAGAGTATTATACACACCTCAAACACACCCTAAGTTGTACCCTTATACTGTAAAATAGCTAAGTTGGTTCTTCTCTCTAGATCCCAATTTCTAGATTTAAATTTCTCCTCAGTGGCCAAGATAGAGGAAACATTCAAAACACTCTAAGCATTTTCTTATATTTACAAATTATTTCAAACATTATTACTTCCTAATATCTAAAAGTAATGTCCTAGGAGGAAATTAGACTCAGGCAACACTCTGAAAGCACTTGGATTCTGAGAATTGATGTCACAGCAGTGACAAATGGAACCAGCTAGACTTGAAATACCTAAAGGTGCATATGCAGTCCTCAAGTCCATATCACAAGTTCAGCTTGAAAACCAATTTTTTAAAAAAGATTTTACTTTTTAAGCAATCTCTACACACACAATGGGGTTGGAACTTACAACCCCAAGATCAAGAGTCTCATGATCCACCAACTGAGCCAGCCAGGTGTCCCTTGAAATCCAATTTTTAATAGAAATTTGAGGTCATGAATCTAAATCTCCACTACCTTTTCTTACCTTTTTCCCCACTATTCTTTCTCATACGTCATATTGGTTTGTTTACTTTATCATTTGGCTTGACCTAGTTTAGACATTTTTCTCCCTTTCCTCTCCAAATTCATGTTCTACTTTCTTGATCAGGTCAATGCACTTTTCTTGTTGTTTGGTATATTTCTTCTGGATTCTGTAAGATCTACTCTATCATTGTGAAAACCTGATCACTCAGGTATCATGGTCTAGATAATCAAATCTTCACCACCACCTCTACAGGCAGCTTGTCATTTCTCATATGCCCCATCCACAAATCACAACTTTCCACTGGGATAGGAATAGATCATGAATACAAAGGAATACGTGGCCTTTGTTTTTTAACAGCACATTTTCATTTTTTATGTTGTCTCATTTATTTAAGAATTGATGAAAATAGGTAGAAACATATTGGATAAACCTTGGCAGGCTCTCTGATATATACAGTATAAGAAAAAAAAATCAATGGTTCCTGTCACTTAGGTCAAGTTTTTCTTTCATAGCTTCCATTGCCCCCAGCAGAGAAAGGAGGATGTTCTCAAGACACCATTATAGCTCTCTTCTTCTTGGGGCCAGGAGCAAGCTCTCTTTCATTTACTAGGGTCCTAAAAAGCATCTCATGCAGTGAAGAAATACCCTCCAAGGAGCTATATTGGTTCCTATGCTCATCAACCCTTAGTCATTTTAAATAATAGCCTTTGTATTTTACAACTTTTTCTTCTTAGCTTTTCACTTGAGGACTCCCATTCAATGGAGGAAAGCTTCACTCCTTTCAGTAGAACAGAGTGGAGTGGTTTGGTCCTCAAGACCAGCCACAGAGGTCAGTAAGTTTCAATAGCTCCTATGTTCCAAATGGACATACGCTTCAGGTGAGGAAAAATTAATCAAACCCTTCCCACCTCTAAGATATACCAATCAAGGCAAGTGTTTAGTTGCCATCCTGGCCTACCTTCAAGGCCCTCTGCAAATGTCTCTGGGGGCATGAAGCCCTTTTGGAGGATTGTCCCCCAGAGGAAGTGATTTTGTCTTTCCCTAAATTCCTGCATCATTTAAAAAGGCACACGTATTTTGACTTGCATAAATTTTTACTGTTCATGTCATTATTAATCTTCTATTCCAAGATAATAAAAGCTATCAATCATTAAACACTTATCCTTCATTCACTCAACAAATCATTAAGCACTGCAGTGTTGGACACTTCAAGCACATGATTTCATTTAATTCCTGTAACTATTTTCTAAAGCAGGCACTGCCATTACAATTCAACCGTTAAGCTCAGCCAAGTTAAGAACCTTGTTCAGGATTGCTTGACTAATGAGGGAGAAGAACCAGGATTCAGACCCTGGAGAGATTCCAAATCTGGTTCTCTACCTACTGGCCCAGTCAGTTTCTTGAGGTCAGGTACGCATATTTTTATCTCCTAAACACTTGGCATGGAAATTTGCACATGGTAGTGACAGGGCTGAGGGGCACGCTGCCCCAGAACATGGCACTTTGGCATACTGATGGTTTCTAGTTAAATTTACTTGAGAAACTAGAGCGTAAAGACCCTGACCCTCCTCTCTGTACCCCTGAAAGCAGGAAAGAAATCCGCCCCCCGCTGTGAAAGGCACCCTCCCTGCACCTGGAGGTAGACAGACACCCTTATCACCAGAGAGAGAATTCAGAGCCAAGAGGACTGTGTAAATAAACTGCTTCATTTCCCCACTAATTAGTCCTCAAGCCCAAGTCACTTTGTCTTGTCAGTTCTTCACACATTTCTTATTTCTTTGTCTAAAAGGTATATAAATGGCCTGCTTTGGTCACTTCTTGGGTCTAATATATTTGGGGCTCCCATACGTATGAAAGTGGATTAAATCTGTTTTTTCTCCTATTAATCTGTCATGGGTCGATTTGATTGTTAGACCAGCCAAAAGAACAAGGAAGAATTTTCTCCTTCCTTACAGTTTATACCCAATTAGTATATACTGAAGTGAAATGCAAAGACCTCTTCAAAATCGCCAAGTCATACAGTGAATAAGCTTGTTCTTCCCTATATCTCACACACACACACACACACACACACACACACACTCCTCTCACTTTGTGGGACTTCCCCTTCAAGGAGGTTCTTTGTGTTGTCTTAAATCTGATTTTACAACAGTCCCATTATTGGGCATGAGAGTGTAATGCACAACCAAAGTCAGGGGCTCTTTAATAGTTTTCTGTCACTTATAATCTCCATAATAAGCAAAATCTAACCCCTTTATAATTCAGGATAAAAAAGAAACTGGAAAAAGTTAATAGGTACACAACAAACTGAGTATTGGCAATAGAATTACGCGAGTAAGGGAAAAAGACTGCTTTTGTGGGATCATCAACCTTTTATCTGGTAGAGCATGGTTGTTAAATAAAAGTTAGAAAGTTCTTAACGTTTCCGTGCTGAGGGACCACCTCTCTCTCCAGTCTACCTGAAAGCCACTCCTCTGGGCTCAGTCTCCTCATCAATAAAATGAGAGAATTGGAGTAGAGCTTCCTTTTAGTTATTCTCTGGTTCTTTGTTTGATTTTGATACTTTTCACTGAATATTTTGAGTTCAGGTTTGTAGACACATCTTACCATAGAAACTTGTTTCACTTGTTTATATTCAATTTCATCCCGATATCCTGCTTGCTGAAATCTGTACAGATTTTCTATCTCTTCTGACCATTTTTTGGCACGACTTATTGATTTTGGTTTCACGTCAGAACTAGCCATGGCTACAGGGATCTTATTGCCAATTATTTCTGAAAGATGTTAAAACAAAATTAATAGCATAACAGTGACAACTTTGAAAGTCTCTTTAAAAATGAACACAAGTGGAATTAAAAAAAAAAACCTAGAATGTTGAGAATCCCATTAAGTATATTAAATTGTAAACATTCAATTTCAAGATTGAGAAGGATTCATGCTCTACTTTGGAAACAAAATAAACCCTGAAAGATACATAGGAACTGTTTATTTCTTCATCAAATAAAATTGCATTTGGAGCATAATGTCCTACTTCTGGTGTCCTAGGCAATAGTAAACACATTTCTGAAGTCACATTCTTATTTTTAACTACTCAGTAGATTGTCAAAACATCTCACCACCATTCCATTTGACTATATTCAAAACCGCATCCCCCACTTTTTTTTTTCCCTAAAAAAGGAATGTAAGATCAGTCTTCTCACTGTTTTCTTATTCTTCTTGCTGAGAAGCAATGATTTCCTCTTGTTCCATATCTTAACTACTTGGAGGTAGTCCAATCACTGCAATCCATTTACTCAGGAGGTCACTGTGACCCTGCTCCGGTGACAGCCCGATGTGAAAAGACGGACGCACACAAAGTCCATGAAAGCTGTATGACTGTATGATACTGAGATCATTGATTTTAAAACAATGTAAGCAGGCACCAATAGCTTTTGAAGTTCAAATAGTCCACTGGAGTACGCATGATTGTCTATTCACCAAACTTCTAGAGTCAGTTTTTCAAAGACATGTCTTGCAGTTGTTTTCTCAGAGTCATTTTATTACCAAAATATATATCAGTTAACTGAAATAAAGTTCCCAGAATTTTCACCATGATTCCTTCAATCCATTCTTCTATTAAAATATGTTTCTATTGGCTGAAATACATTAAATATAGACCTCATGAGTAGGTCCTCTAAATGGATCCTTATTTTCAAAATTTTTTCAATTACAATGCAAATACTCATTACAGTAGTACCTCTGCACTCTCTACCTTGACCGCAGTCTGGAAGCAGGTGATCCTCATTCTGACCTATTGTCAGAAGGTCAGTGGTAGCATAAGGCTACATCCCAATGCCTATGTCATTCACCTCACTTGATCTCATCATACAGGCATTTTATCTTACATTATCACAAAAATAGTATAGGAAAATACATTTGGACAGGATACATTCACATAACTTCAAAATATATTGTCATAATTGTCCTATTTTATTATTGTTGATTTAAACTTTATCATAGACAGGTATGTACAGGAAAAAACATAGAATATATAGGGTTAGGTACTATCTGTGGTTTGAAGCATCCAGTGGGGGGTTTTGGACTATAACCCCCATAGATAAGTAGGGGCTAGTATGTGTTGAAAAGGTCAGGAAATATATTAAAGTATAAAAAAAAGTCAAAATAATCATCACATCAATTAGAAGTATCCATCATCATCTTAAACATAAGATGAGTTAGGGCAGACTTTAAAAGTTTTATAAACAGGAGTCTTACAATAAATGCTTTCAGAAGTGTAACAAATTTAGCTCAGCCTGGATTCAATGAGGGGGAAGTAGGAAATGAACATAAAATTGATGGAATTTTTGAATTTCAGATAAATATTTCTTCAATGTGAAGGACGTGACCTAGAATTTCTCTCATAGTTAAAAAAGAGAGACTAATGGAGACTGTTATTTTAATAAAAATAGATTAGTGGAGACTGTTAGGAGGCTAAGAGTCATTTGTTTGAATTTTATGTATCAATCATGTACAAGTACCAATTGGCTCTTCCATGAAAAATAAGGGAATTGGTCCTATGCTTTCCCCTAACTTCTGTAGACTTTCGTCACATTCTTACTTAACATTCTAAAGGTTGTGGTATTCACACTCATCCTGAAACCAAAATTCTCACAGTTGTTTGGGCTTAGCTCCAGATTTAAATGAATTAAAATGAAGTCATTTGAGTTACACAATTCACTCTGATGAAAGTAGCAACTACCCAAATGGTTATATCATTAATATTGTTTACATTTTTTTCATCATGCATACTAATTATATCGATATCGATATATAGACTAGACAAAAGAAAATTAAGGTATTGTTAATATTTGACATTTTAAAAACTTTTGACCCTTGTTTATTAATTTTGGCTTAGGCTCATGTTGTATTTTAAGGCAATATATTGTTATTGTATGAATTTATGTAAAATATAGACTACCTGACAAAACAATAAGCAAGCCATATTCCAGTGAAATCCTTGCCTTTCATTTCAATTCATTTTTTCAAATTTTCAAATTTTTATTTTTTCTTATTTTTAAAGTTTATTTTTATTTATTTATTGGTTTCTTTTTTTAAAAATTCAAATTTAATTAGTTAACATATAATGTATTATTAGTTTCAGAGGTAGAGTTCAATGATTCATCAGTCTTATGTAACACCCAGGGCTCATTATATCACATGGCCTCCTTAATGTCCATCACCCAATTCCCCCATCAACCCCAAACCCCTCCCCTCCAGCAACCTTCAGTTTGTTTCCTATGATTTAGAGTCTCTTATGGTTTTTCTCCCTCTGTGTTTTTGTCTTTATTTTTTTCCTCCCTTCCCCTAAGATCCTGTTTTATTTCTTAAATTCCACATATGATGAGATCATATATTTGTCTTTCTCTGATTGACTTATTTCACTTAGCATCCTACTCTCTAGTTCCATCCACATCATTGCAAATAGGAAGATATCATTTTTTGATGGTTGAGAAATATACCATTGTCTAAATATATACCACTTCTTCTTTATCCATTCACCTATCATTGGACATCTGGGCTCTTTCCATAGTTTGGCTATTGTGGACATTGCTGCTATAAACATTGGGGTTCAGGTACCCTTTCAGATGAGTACATTTGAGATGCCAAGTGATATGGAGCATTTTTTCATGTTCTTTTGGCCATTTGGATGTCTCCTTTGAACAAATGTCTGTTCATGTTTTCTGTCCATTTCTTGACTAGATTTTTTGGTTTTGGGGTGTTGAGTGTGATAAGTTCTTTATAGACTTTGGATACTAGCCCTTTATCTGTTAAGATGTTTGCAAATATCTCGGGGAAATACAAATCTAAACCACAATGAGATAACACCTCACACCAGTCAGAATGGCTAAAATTAACAAGTCAGGAAATGACAGATGCTGGCAAGGATGCGGAGAAAGGGGAACCCTCCTACACTGTTGGTGGGAATGCAAGCTGGTGCAACCACTCTGGAAAACAGCATGGAGGTTCCTCAAAAAGTTGAAAATGAAACTACCTTACGACCCAGCAATTGCACTACTGGGTATTTACCCTAAAGATACAAACATAGTGATCCAAAGGAGTACATGCACCCGAATGTTTATAGCAGCAATGTCCACAATAGCCAAACTATGGAAAGAACCTGGATGTCCATCAACAGATGAATGGATAAAGAAGCTGTGGTATATATATACAATGGAATACTATGCAGCCATCAAAAGAAATGAAATCTTGCCATTTGTGACAATGTGGATGGAACTAGAGGGTATTATGCTTAGTGAAATAAGTCAAGATCATACGATCTCCCTGATATGAGGACGTGGAGATGCAATGTGGGGGATTTGGGGGGTATGAAAAGAATAAATAAAACAAGATGGGGTCAGGAGGGAGACAAACCATAAGACACTCTTAATGTCACAAAACAAACTGAGGGGGGTCAGGGGGAGAAGGGTAGGGAGAGCTTGGTGGGGTTATGGACATTGGGGAGGGTGTGTGCTATGGTGAGTGCTGTGAAGTGTGTAAACCTGGCAATTCACAGACCTGTACCCCTGGGGCTAATAATACATTATATGTTAATAAAAAAATTTTAAAAATTTAATTAAAAAAAGATGTTTGCAAATATCTTTTCCTATTCTGTCAGTTGTCTTTTGGTTTTGTTGACTGTCCTTTGCTGTCTTTGCTGTGCAAGCTTTTTATCTTTTAAGTCTCAATAGATCCTTTTTGCCTTTGTTTCTCTTGCCTTTGGAGACATGTCTAGCAAGAAGTTGCTGTGGGCAAGTTTACAGAGATTGCTACCTGTGTTCTCTAGGATTTTGATGGATTCCTGTCTTACATATAGGTCTTTCATCCACTTTGAGTATATTTTTGTGTGTGGTATAAGAAAATGGTCTAGTTTCATTCTCCTGCATGTGGCTGTCCAATTTTCCCAACACCATTTGTTGAAGAGACTTGTCTTTTTTTCCATTGGATAGTCTTTCCTGCTTGATCGAAGATTAGTTTACCGTAGAGTTGAGGGTCCATTTCTGGAGTCTCTAGTCTGTTCCATTGATCTTTGTGTCTGTTTTTGTGACAGTACCATACTGTCTTGACTATTATAACTTTGTACTAGAGCTTGAAATTCAGAATTGTGATGTCACCAACTTTGGGGTTCCTTTTCAACATTATTTTTGCTATTTGGGGTCTTTTCTGGTTCCATAAAAATTTTTGGATTATTTGTTCTAGCTCTGTGAAAAAAATTGATGGTATTTTGATAGGGATTGCACTGAATGTACGGATTGCTCTAGGTGGCATAGATATTTTAATGATATTTGTTCTTCCAATCCATGAGCATGGAATATTTTTCCATTTTTGTGTGTGTTCCTCAATTTCTTTCATGAGTATTCTATAGTTTTTTGAGTACAGATCCTTTGCCTCTTTGGTTAGTTTTATTCCTAGGTATCTTATGGTTTTTGGTGTAATTATAAATGGGATCACCTTAATTTCTCTTTCTTCTCTCTCATTGTTAGTGTATAAAAATGCAACTGATTTCTGTGCATTGATATATCCTGCCACTTTGAATTCCTGTACTGGTTCTAGCAATTTTGGGGTGGAGTCTTTCGGGTTTTCCACATAGAATATCATGTCTTCTGAGAAGAGTGAGCATTTGACTTCTTCTTTGCTGATTCAGATGCTTTTTATTATTTTTTGTTGTCTGATTGCTGAGGCTAGGACTTCTAGTACTATGTTGAACAACAGTGGTGAGAGTGGACATCCCTGTCATGGTCCTGACCTTAGGGGTAAAGTTCTCGGTTTTTCCCCATTGAGAATGATATTTGCTGTGGGGTCTTCGAATATGACTTTTAGGATATTGAGGTATATACCATTCATCACTATATTGTGAAGAATTTTAGTCAAGAAAGGGTGCTGTACTTTGTCAAATGCCTTTTCCGCATCTATTGAGAGTATCATATGGTTCTTGTCTTTCCTTTTATTAATGTAGTGTATCACATTGATTTGTAAATGTTGAACCACCCTTGGGGCCCAGGAATAAATTCCGCTTTGTTGTGGTGAATAATCCTTTTAATGTACTGTTGGATCCTACTGGCTAGTATCTTGATGAGAATTTTTGCATCCATGTTCATTAGGGATATCAGTCTTTTTGATGAGGCCTTTGTCTGGTTTTGGGATCAAGGTAATGCTGGCCTTATAGAAAGAGTTTGCAAATTTTCCTTATATTTCTATTTTTTGAAACAGCTTCAGAAGAATTGGCATTAATACTTCTTTAAATGTTTGGTACAATTCCCCTGGGAAGCCATCCAGCCCTGGACTCTTGTTTGTTGGGAGATTTTTGATTACCGCTTCAATTTCCTTGTTGGTTATGGGTCTCTTCAGGTTTTCTATTTCCTCCTGTTTCAGTTTTGGTAGTTTATACATCTCTAGGAATGCACCCATTTCTTCCAGATTACCTAATTTGTTGGCGTATAGTTGCTCATAATATATTCTTTTTTTTTTTTTTGCTCATAATATATTCTTATAACTATTTGTATTTCTTTGGTGTTGGTGATCTCTACTCTTTCATTTATGATTTTATTAATTTGGATCCTTTCTCTTTTCTTTTTGGTAAGTCTGGCCAGGGATTTATTGGTCTTATTAATTGTTTCAAAGAACCAGCAGTTTTGTTGGTTCTACTGTTCTTTTGGTTTCTATTTCATTTCCATTCATTTCAATGCGAGGCTCACTGCTTTGTTGCTGAACACTAGGTATGATCAACAGTGAGTTCGACATGTGTGGTACAGCCTGACAATCCATTAACATATACAACCATATATAACCTATTTTTTTCATAGAAAAATGACACTATGAAACATGAAAGGAAAAGTACAAATTTGCTGTATAAAAATATTTTCAGAATTAGTCATGTTTGTTATATGAATTTAGTGTCTGTATTATATTGCTTCTATAGATAAAGCACACTTTCTAAAAGTAGTGGCACAATCATACTTTTTGTTTTACCCAAGCCATTTTTGCTTTAGGCTTGGCTTTTTCATACATAACAAAATACTTTTATATACTCGTATTCATTCAAAAACTATTTTCCTGACTGTCATCTAGATAACATTTTGCCACTTTCCAGCAAAACACTTATGTAAACTATAAATATAAAAATGCTTTCAACAAGGGTTCCTGGGTGGCTCAGTTGGTTAAGCATCTGCCTTTGGGTCAGGTTATGATCTCATGGGTCTTGGGATTGAGTCCTGCTTCCAGCTTCCTGCTGGGTGGGGGGTGTCTGCTTCTCTCTCTCTCTCTCTGCTCCTCCCCCTCTTGTACATGCGTGCATGCGCTCGCTCTCTTTCAAATAAATAAAATCTTTTAAAAAATAAAAATATTGCTTTTAACAGAAGAACTGTCTAACAGAAGAGTTGAACTACTGCAGGAAAAAAAAAAACATTTTTTTCCTCAGTGGAAATATGTATCCTCTACACATATTAGCCATTTCAAAACTTTGTTTTCCCACAATAGCTAAAGGGAATATAAATGCATTTTCACCATAATACTTTAACTACTGGTTACTGTAACTATACTATATAGTGGTGTACAATCCCCCCTAAATTTTTGTCTCCCTTATTACTTACTTTCTACTTATTAAAAACAGAATGAAACTAAAATTGGTAAAGACCAACTTACAGTTTTTCAATTAAACATTTAAGTAATTCTGGGAAATTCAGTAACAATATTAATCCCGCTAGTAACTTTCAGCACTTTGAAATTTAGTGGTTTTACTTTGCCAAGAGTTGTGGCAAAACTGTAACACTATGTTGTAGCTACAGAAACAGGAAATGGCAATGGTTGACTTTCTAGTTTTGCAAAATTCTAATTTTATTAAACAGTATTAAGTTTATATAGGTATTTTAAAAACTCAGCAATATCAAACCCTTGACAATCTGAAGTTTTAATCTGAGATCAAAGCCTTTGATGTACCAGTTATCTCAAACTCCTTTCTGTGCAAAAGTCCTTTTCATTTCCTTGTTCGCTCTGAAAAGTGCTTTTTGCCTTTAGTTGTATTAAAACCCCAAGAGCATTAATTAGTATTGCTAACCCTCCATTTCTTTACCTATTTTATTCTGTTCCTAGATGTACCAGGATATGGCAAAGGAGCTGATCAGTTAACATCCCTGGGCTTGTTTTCCGAACAGTGAAAAGGTCTCATTTAGAAGGTCTTAGGTCCGCACACTTCCCTTCCCAAAGTTCTTGGGGGGGTCAGTTGAAAAACCCAACTGGTTTCTCAAATATGCCTTTGTAGTCCATGGTCTAGGTGTGCTAATCTGCATCTGTGCAGCGTAAAGTCACTCCATGCCTTCTCCAGTCCCTCAAACCTTTCTTCTGCCAGAAATCACCAATTCTGTAATCGAGGTAAAAGGCTGAGATGGAGAAAGCATTTTGAAAACTGGGGGTCACATGGCTGGTCCGCAGAACTCTTGAGAAGAGACCCCAGAATACCTCAAGCCGCAAAGGGTGCGCCTCGGGTGGAAGCTACGGGGAAATCAGATTTTGAAAGTCAAGGGGTAGCAGGTAAAGACCCCTGCTAACCCAGAAAATAGAGAAGCAAGCCGGACAAATCTCAGAAATCACAAAGGCGGGTTGGGGCAGAAGGGGTGGAGCTGAGGGTTCCGGGGCGGGGCCCGGGCGGGCACAGAGTAAGGGGCGGGCCGTTCGGGCCCCTCGGGACGTGTCCACCCACCCCCTGGGTCCCGCTCTCCTTGGTTACCCTCGCTGGCCGACCTGGAGAGGCCGAGGCACCCCGCCCGGGAGCTCACAGGAGAGCGCGGCGGTGCTCGTGTTCTCCACTCAGGAATCCGTGGGCTGGGCAGCGAGAGGCCAACTGTCGTGCCTCGGCGACCGTCGCGTCCCCTAGCAACGCGTGGCGCCCCTAGCTCCGGCCCCACCCCCTGCGAGAGGGCCCTAACGCGCAGGTGCGAGGGCGGAGACGGGCGGTTTGGAGAGTCAAAGCTGACGCCAGGATGGGCATCCTGCAGGGGCTGACCCCTAGGCAGAGGAATCGAGCAGAATGTGTTATTTGCTTCTACAGTACCAGACAGAATTCCGTTGGAGATTTTGGTTTCTGCGAGTAGATCCCTCACGTCTGTCCCACCCTATTTCTCATTTTGTTGAAACTAAATGAACCGGTCAATTCACAGATTAGAGTTTAGTGACTGGCAATTAGTAAACCCACAATCAACAACATCCATAATTTAGATGACTTTTCTCTATCATTACCTTTATCTGTATATTTAAAATACTATCGATTTACTTAATAACTCTCAAATTTATTTCCTCAACTCAAATCTCTTTCTGAATTCCAGACCTGTATATCCCGCCTATATTCAACATCCACCTAGTTGTCCCAAACAGCCCTCTTCAAAGTCCCCTCCCCAGCCTTAACTAAATGGCTCCTAGAGTCCACTCTGTCTTGCCCGATTTATCCGTCACTGTTGGCTTTTCTGTTCCCACCGAGTCCAAGCCACTATCACCCCTCCCCCACCCACGCTGGTTATTGCAATAATCTGCGACAGGTGTCTCTTGATCCCCCCTCGTCTATTCTCAACACAACAGTCTATGTAATCCGTTTAAAACATAACTCAGAGGGGCGCCTGGGTGGCTCAGTGGGTTAAGCCTCTGCCTTCGGCTCAGGTCATGATCCCAGAGTCCTGGGATGGAGCCCCGCATCGGGCTCTCTGCTCAGCGGGGAGCCTGCTTCCTCCTCTCTCTCTCTCTCTCTCTCTCTGCCTGCCTCTCTGCCTACTTGTGATCTCTGTCAAATAAATAAATAAAATCTTTAAAAAAAAACATAACTCAGATTGTGTCATTTCTCTGCTCGCAGTCTTGCAATGGCTTTTCATCTTACAGAGTGAAACCAACAAAACCCTACAAGGGTTGCATACTATTCCCCTTCCCTTGCTCTGGAGTCCTGGATCACTCCATTCCAGCCACACTGATCTGCTGGTTGTTCCTGGCCAAGCTTCCAGCTTGAGGTCTTAGCTGAGGCTGCTGCATCAGGCTCTCTATCTTACCCCTTACTACATTCTAGTGTTTCTTCCGTCCACAGCACTTATCACCACTTATTATACTATTTAAATTGCTTCTTTCTTAATTTTATTGTTTATCTTCTGCAAGAACGTAATTTCCACATTTCCATAAAGACAGAGGTCTTGTTGACCAAATTTCTAGAATAGTACCTAGTGCATAAGAGGTGCCAAAGCAATATATTTCGAATGAATATCTTTCACCACCATGGCCACTCGGATGCTCTAGAAGCAGTAAAGCATCACGTCTAAGGCATGACCTTGGATTTGGATCTGGTTTCTACTACTTAGTTGTCATATGACTTTGTGCAAGTTGCTGAACACTGCTTTCTTTAACTGTAAAGACAAAAAGTGTACCTATCTGATGGGGCAGTTGTGAGGATGAATTAACAAATGTAAACCATTTAGGAGAGCACCTAGAACTATATAAATGATAGACCTGATTTCCACTAGAATGTACACTTCATTGTCACAAGGGGTTTACTCTGCTTTGCTTGATGCTGTATCTTTAATGTCTAGAATAATGTGTGGCACAGAATAGATGGTCAGGGATGATTTGTTGAGTGAACAAGTGAATCCACACCATCACATTTTTTGGAGTATTGTGGCAGCTTCCGATCCACACGTCCGCCCCAGATTGCCTGAGTGCTCTTTCAAACTTAAATCCAGTGGCTTAAAAACTTAAGCATCAATCAGAGTCCCCTGGAGAGTGTGTTAAAACAGACTGCTGGAGAGTTCTGATTCAGTAAGTCTAGGCTGCAGTAGAGATCTTGCATTTCTAACAGGTGCTCTCCCAGGGCCCACACGTTGAGAAACACTCTTCTGATTCACTTATCATTCTCTTGTTTCAAACCACCCAGGCTTCTCGCCGTTGCTCAAGTTAAAGTTTGAACTGTTTGGCTTGGTGTATAAGGCCCTTGTGGTCTGGTCCCTTAGCTAGTTTAAACTTGACTTCCCCTGGTAAGTCCCTATTATTTCATCCCTTTGACCCAAGTGCTTTGGTTAAAAGGAACTATTTGCAGTGTGCAGACTGAATAAAAGCCCATTCCAGGGACTTCAGCTGTTCCTGTGCTCAGAAGCTGAACTTAAGTTAACCTTCTCCGCTATGTTTTTCTTTCTCCTTGCAGAATTGAGTTCTTTTGCTCGGTCTTTGCACTGAATTCTTAGCAGGTTTCCAATAAAATTCTGTAAAACTTCTTGCATTTATTTCCACGAGTTTCTACTTCTGCCAGACTGTAAGGTCTCGTGCCAAGGCTGATTCCTTTATGTAAAACCGGGTTCAAGCACAGTGTTTGGTATTTAGTGGATGCCCAGTAAATAATAATAAGATCTAATATTTATTGAACACTTACCATTGTCTGGGGCTTTTGTTAGACTTTATTTAGTTAGTTTTTCTTAGTTGAATAAAAACACTTTAATCAATCAGAGTGTTGAGAGTAGGAGGTGTGAGGAAGAGATATGGGTGGTGAAGACATGCATGAAACTAATGCAAAATAAACATACATTGTGATTTTTTCAAAGCCACCTTCTGTTATGTGAGTTAGCCATGCAGTGTCTTCTTAACTCTCTACAGAAGGGATATTCTTGTCAATCTGGTTCAGTTTGTCTACCTTCTCCCATATACTCTCCAAACATTTTGAAAATAAATCCATTGAGCGATAATTGAAATGCAATAACTAGCACATATTTAACAGCCTATAATCTGATAAGTTTGACATATGCATACACCTGTGAAATCATCACCACAATCAAGTTAATGAACTTGTTTCCTGTACCCCCAGTCAACTATTGATTTGCTTTCTGTTATTTTGGATCAGTTCACAATTTTCATAATTTTATATAAGTGGAATCATAGAGTATGATCTTGGATTTCCAGCTTCCAGAACTCTGAGGCAATGAAATTTCTGTTGGGGAAGTCACCCAGTCTGTGGTGCTTGTTACAGCAGCCCTAGCACACAGATACACTTTAAAAAAAAAATACATTATCTCCTTGTATGCTTCCTCATATGACATTTTATGTCTGTTATTATGAAGGAATAGCATAGAATATAGTAAATATATATTATATAGAATATAGTAAATTTATAATGTAAGTTAATTTAGATTGACAACAGTTTGTAAGTAAAGAAAAATATATCCTGTAGTTATTTCCCAACAGACTTATACCTACCTCAATAACGAATTTTTTGGTATGTAACATGCACTTGGTAGCAGTTTTCAGTCCCTTTGAGGGACATCAAGGACTTAGAATTCTGAAGAGCTTGGACTTGCAGAAAGATTCCTGATGTGGGATGACGAAGTGGAGCAGAGCTGATGTTGTTGACTACATTTCAATTTTCTTTACTAGCAGCCACAGGAGGAATTTCTCTTGGGACTCAGTAATCAGAAAATTGGACTTCTCCTGAAAATCTGTTATATTTGTGTCTTGAGGGTGTGTAAGGCTAGTGATTATGGCTTTTTCTAGAAGAGCCAAATAGTTGGCTCATGTTTTCCAATGGTTTGTGCATGTCTGTGTCTCTACTTACCCACCTTCGCTGTTTTCTGACCTATCTGTTCCCCCTTATCCTCTTTCGCTTTACTCTGTCACACTGTACCCATTGTGGAAAGAAGAGAGAATAAATAAGTGGTTAGATAAGCATATGACTATTATCTTGACCTGCCTTACCAGGAGTTCCCCATCCTGTCAGAGGTAGACACACCAGATTCTCCAGATCCCAGTCTCACTGCAGAATTTGTTTTTAGGTATACACAGCTTAGCCCTCCTTTATTCTAAGACAAACCATCTTATACCAAATCAAAGGTGTTGGCAATAGATACTAACAGAATGCTTTACTCAAATGATTATGATGTCTATACTGCTCCCACTCTACCTCATCTTCCTCCCTTTCTTTTTCTTCACCTTTGAGAAATCTCTATTTGAATAGAACTCCGAGTACCATGGCTGCAGGAAAATGCTGATGTTCCGTGAGGGTGGCACTCTGATTCTTGATTCCACGGCTTAAAATTCATTGTTCTTGGATCTTCCCCCCGCATTATTTTGTGTCTTTGTGGAAGCATTTGTTTATCATATTCTGCAAATGTGCTGTCTCCAAACGGGTTGAAAACCTACCTGAAGGCACATCTTAGTCATATATGTAATAAACTGCAAGGCTTTTTATAATGTAATACACAAAACAACACCTCAAGAGTGTTTGAGTTGTTTCTGATTATTAATATTGTGGTGTTTAAGGAGACTTGATAGGAAGGGATCCATTCAGTGGGATGGGGTCCCTCTTGGGCTCCTTGCTCAGCTGGGAGCCTGCTTCTCCCTCAGCCTGCTGCTTCCCTGCTTGTTCGTTCTCTCTCTCTCTCTCTGTCAAATAAATAAATTAAAATCTTTTAAAATAAAAAAGTGAGTGAATAAATAAATGGAAGCGAGAACTAACAAGTTATTGAATCTACCATGAATCACATACAATTTTTTTTCTCATACAATCCTCATGGTTACCCCCTAAGGTAGAAACTGGGAAAAGAAGTAAAGAAGGGAAACTGAGCTGGGCTTTCAGGCTCTCAGTAGACAAGCAGGAGGTGGAACGAAGTCTGATTTCAAAGCGAAGCTTTGCATCGCCCTTCGATTCTTGGCATCCTTGGGTAGAGCACCTGCTACGGGTGTTCAGTTTCCTTTCGCGATACCGTTGCTGCACAGACAAGGACACACTGCACCAGGAAGGCCACTCCTGTTGAGTCAAGGTTTCCAGCAGGAGGCACCCTCGTCGCGCCACATCCTACATCCCAGCCAGCTGCCCCAGCCCAGCATCCCGCCACTCGAACAATCAACCACGCGATTAGCCGGCCGCGGACTGTCCACTGAAGTTCCTCGGCACCGCCCCGCCGCCGCAGGGCTCCTCTGATTGGACGTGGCTGCATCCGGCGAGCCAATGGCTCGGCGGCGGCGGCAGGTTCCCGGAAGTGGCGGCCCCGCGAGGAAAACCTCAGCTTCCGCAGGCGGCGTGGGGTCGGGTCCGCTGGGCTGTGCTGGCGCTATGAGTTCCTTCAAGGGGCAGATGGCCGAGTACCCAACCATCTCCATAGACCGCTTCGACAGGGAGAACCTGAAAGCCCGCGCCTACTTCCTGTCCCACTGCCACAAGGGTGAGTGAGCGTGGCGCGCCGCCCGCCCAGGGGACGCAGGCTGCATGTGTTCTGGCCCCGCGGGGAAGCCTCCCGGGAGGCGGGGGGAGCTTGAGCAGCGGAGTGCAGGCTCCGGGAGGCCGGGGCCCAGACCAGCAGATGGACCTTGTCCCAGCCTGGCTCTTCGGCCTCTCTGAGGCTTTATTTCTTCATCTGTACGACGGGACGGAACCGAGACTTGGGCAGCGCCCCCACCCCCCCCCCCCCCCCCCCCCCCCCCCCGCCCCGGGCCCGTTTGACCAGGGATAACACTTGGGTTCTTTTGGTAGCTCTCCTAGCAGCGAAGAGTCAGAAGTCAGCGAGGATTCTTTCTTACTTCTTCCTTTACATCTTCGCTTCCATGTTATAAAGAAAACAAGTTTCAGAAGAAATCCCGCCCTACCCGCCCCCCAATATTTATTATCAAGCAAGCGCCCGCACACACACTTAGACCTGTGTCCGAAAGCTCCTGTAGTGCAAGCTCCCCCTCCTTTGAGGTGTTCTGCCCGCCTCCAATATAAAAATTTCGTTTAAGGTGAAGCAACCAGAGCACTAAGATTTCACAGCTGCACACAGTAGGTAATCCCTAATCATAGGGATTGGGCCCTAGTGATAAGGCCTGCAGGTTAGAGACTCCGAGTGAGGCGGGAGAGTCTCTTAAACGTTCTAACCGATCTCCAGAGCTGGAGGAGCCCTCATTTTGCAACCGTTGGCCGTGTGTGTATCACCTAGTATGCCTGCGTTCGCGCTTTTGGGAAGTGCCTCTGCTTTCTTGATCTAGTCTACGAATTTTCTCTCGTCAATGTGGAAAATCTGAATTTCGTCTCTTGATTTGTCAAATAGCACTGTGAGCCTCTTTGAGGGTCTTTCTACTTATTCTCCAGAATAACGTTTTTGGTTTTGGTGTGTTTTTCATTGTGAATCCCCTGCTGGGTGGGGATACCTCTGTTTCACCTTTTGTCTTGAGCGTTACTGGAGTTTCTGAACTCAGAATGTGCTTAGCCATGATTGACGTGTGGCGCAGGGGCTCGCCCTTGATGTCTACGAGTAGCGAGTTTGGAGAAGGAATCCCTCTAACGGAATCTGAAATCATGATCATCTGTTTGTACGTTAAGCAAAAAACTGACTCCCTGTTATTGAGCAGTTTATAATCACTGTTTCTGTTCTCTAATGACATGTGAGTCTGTTTACTCAGCCTGAAAATAATCTCATCAAGGGAAGAAGTCAGCTTCTGCTTTTGGAAATTTCCCACACTGCTTACTGGTAGTTTTTAACCTTTTTCAGAAACAGATTTCTTTGATGTGCTGTGGACTGAATTGTGCTGCCCCACCCCCTTCATATGTTGAAGCTGAAACCCCCATGTGACTGTATTTGGTGGCTGGGTTTTTAGGAGGCAGTTAAAATTTAAATGAGCTGGATCCTAACTCATTAGGATTGATGGCCTTATGAAAAGAGGAATAGAGATTGCACCCTGTCCACACACTCTGAAGGGCCATCTGCAAGCCAGGAGGTGAAGTCTCACTAGAAACCAACCCTGGCTCCTTGAGCTTGGAATTTAGCCTCCAGAACTGTAAGTTTTATGGTTTAAGCCACCTTATCTGTGGTATTTTGTGTCATTCTGAACAGACTGATACAGGATATCTGACAAAATCTGTGGCCTCTTTTGGTAGAAAAAAAAAATCACATTTTGATAGAACGTCTCATTCCATGGCCCACTCAGTTCTGCTTATGGGCCATCCGAAACCCAGTCCTATGCTCAGGGCAGGCTTTGCTAAGCATCAGTAAAGTCTGGAGGTCAAGAGGGGACCTGTGGCCTGATAGAGTAGCCCAGGGTTGGAGAAGACCCCATTAGGGGACAATTTCCAATGACTTAATTTGGTTCGAGAAAGCAAAAAGGCTCTGGAAAGGAGACTCTGGGTGCAGTCCTTGCAGCACCAAGTAAACTGGCCCAGGTTCTCTTGCTGGCAGCCTTGGGCGGGGGGGGGGGGGGGGGGTGTCTGCGGTGGTCCAGGGCCGGTCCCGGGCTAGTCCAGGGCTGTCTTGATTAAAGCAGCCACAGAGGGCTGCCTGCTGATTTAGTTTGGGAGTATAGAACTGAGTCTTGATTCAGCCTCTATTTTGCCGTGGCACAAATTCTTTGGAAATCCCAACCAGTGCCACCAGATGCCCTAAAAGCCTGGACTAGGAGTGATCTGAGGGGATTTACCCACCGAGGGGGCAGGCACAAGTCCAGTCAAGGTCTACTGTGGGGGGTGTGGCGACTGCACTGTTTTCTCTGGAGTTAAGGATCAGCACAGGTGATTGTGTTGAGGACTGTGTGTGTGTGTGTGTTTGGGTGGTAATTTGAATAATAGGGTTTGTTGATTCACCTAAACTGAGAAGGTGTGGTCATTGCTATCTAGTCCTTCCCATGCTGGAGATTCAGAATGTATTAGAATGACTATGTTTAAAGGCTGTCTTTCTGTATGTGTTGCTTTGGAGGGCTGCGAAGCAGACCTGTGTGGATAGAAATGCCGCATCTTTCTACCCAGCAGTCACAGCAGGCTGAGAAGAGAATGAAACTCTTCTCATGCTGACCTAAGCCTAAACAAGTTCCAGATGGACTCACTTCAGTGCCTGGAACTGGATGGGTCACATAAAGTGGGCACAAAGGATGGTTGGATTAAAATGAAGGAAGAACATGAAAGAAAGTGCTGGAAGCAGTTCTGAAGTGAGTCTGGTTACTCATTCTTCTGTGGCTACTCAGAGTGATTTAGAATCTGTCCTAAGATGGAGGGGGTTGTTCTTGTAAATGATGGCCAGAGATGGTCAGCTTGCAGTGGTTCCTGCCCTGTTTGCAGCTGTATTTGCCACCTGCAGAAGAGTCAGTAGCCCACACGAATCAGTTCTCTTATAAAGGTGAACCTCTTGGGGCACCTGGGGGCTCAAGTTGCTTGAACGTCCAACTCTTGGTCTTGGCTCAGGTCATGATCTCGGGGTCATGGGATCCAGCCCAGTGTGGGGCTCCCTGCTCAGTGGGGAGTCCGCTTCAAGATTCTCTCCTCCCACATGGATGGAAAAATTCTCACCAAAATACTAGCCAATAGGATCCAATAGTACATTAAAAGGATTATTCACCACGACCAAGTGGGATTTATTCCAGGGCTGCAAGGTTGGTTCAACATCCGCAAATCAATCAGTGTGATACAATACATTAATGAAAGAAAGAACAAGAACCATATGATACTCTCAATAGATGCTGAAAAAGCATTTGACAAAGTACAGCATCCTTTCTTGATCAAAATTCTTCACACTGTAGGGATAGAGGGCACATACCTCAATATCATCAAAGCCATCTATGAAAAACCTACAGTGAATATCATTCTCAATGGGGAAAAACTGAGAGCTTTTCCCCTAAAGTCAGGAACGCGGCAGGGCTGTCCATTATTACCACTGCTATTCAACATAGTACTAGAAGTCCTAAGCTTGGCAATCAGACAATAAAAATAAATAAAAGCATCCAAATCGACAAAGAAGAAGTCAAACTCTCACTCTTTGCAAGTAATATGATACTTTATGTGGAAAACCGAAAAGACTCCACTCCAAAACTGCTAGAACTCATATGGGAATTCAGTAAAGTGTCAGGATATAAAATCAATGCACATAAATCAGTTGCATTTCTATATACCAACAGCAAGTCATAGGAAAGAGAAATTAAGGAGTCAATCCCATTTACAATTGCACCCAAAACCATAAGATACCTAGGAATAAACCTAACCAAAGAGGCAAGGACTCTGTACTCAGAAAACTATAAAGTACTCATGAAAGAAATTGAGGAAGACACAAACAAATGGAAAAATGTTCCATGCTCCTGGATTGGAAGAACAAATATTGTGAAAATGTCTATGCTACCTAACGTAATTTACACATTTAATGCAATCCTTATCAAAATACCATCAATTTTTTTTTCAAAGAAATGGAACAAATAATCCTAAAATGTGTATGGAACCAGAAATGACCCCAAGTAGCCAGAGGAATGTTGAAAAAGAAACCCAAAGTTGGCAGCATCACAATTCCAGACTTCAAGCTCTGTTACAAAGCTGTCATCATCAAGACAGTATGGTACTGGCACAATAACAGACACATAGATCAATGGAACAGAATAGAAAGCCCAGAAATGGACCCTTAACTCTGTGGTCAACTAATCTTTGACAAAGCAGGAAAGAATGTCCAATGGAAAAAAGACAATCTCTTTAACTAATAGTGTTGGGAAAAATGGACAGCCACATGCAGAAGAATAAAACTGGACCATTTCCTTACACCACACACAAAAATAGACTCAAAATGGACGAAAGACCTCAGCTTGAGACAGGAATCCATCAAAATCCTTTAGAACAAAGGTAGCAACCTCTTTGATCTCCGCCGCAGCAATTTCTTCCTAGAAACATCGCCAAAGGCAAGGGAAGCAAAGGCAAAAATGAACTATTGGGACTTCATCAAGATCAAAAACTTTTGCACAGCAGAGGAAACAGTCAACAAACCAAAAGACAACTGATAGAATGGGCGAAGATATTTGCAAACAACCTATCAGATAAAGGGCTAGTATCCAAACTCTGTAAAGAACTTTTCAAACTCAACACCCAAAGAACAAATAATCCAATCAAGAAATGGGCAGAAGACATGAACAACATTTCTGCAAAGAAGACATCAGATGGTCAACAGACACATGAAAAATGTGCTCAAAAAATTAATAAGTCTGGAAATGACAGATGTTGGCGAGGATGCGGAGAAAGGGGAGCCCTCCTACACTGTTGGTGGGAATGCAAGCTGGTGCAACCCCTCTGGAAAACAGCATGGAGGTTCCTCAAAAAGTTGAAAATAGAGCTACCCTACAACCCAGCAATCGGACCCCTGAGTATTTACCCTAAAGATAAAAATGTAGGGATCTGAAGGGGCACGTGCACCCAAATGTTTATAGCAGCAATGTCCACAATAGCCAAACTGTGGAAAGAACCTAGATGTCCATCAGCAGATGAATGGATAAAGAAGCTGTGGTATATATATGCAATGGAATACCATGCAGGCATCAGAAAACCAAAATCTTCCCATTTGCAACGATGTGGATGGAATTAGAGGTTATTATGCTGAGTGAATTAAGTCAATCTGAGAAAGACAGTTATCATATGATTTCTCTAATATAAGGAATTTGAGGTGCAGGGCAGGAGGTCGTGAGGGATAGGGAGGGGATACAATGAAACAAGATGGGATCGGGAGGGAGACAAACTATAACAGACTCTTAATCTCATGAAACAAAATGAGGGTTGCTGGAGTGGACCTGGGTGAGAGGGATAGGGTGGCTGGGTTATGGATATTGGGGAGGGTATGTGCTATGGTGAGTGCTGTGAAATGTGTAAGCCTGATGATTCACAGACATGTACCCCTGGGGAAATAATACATTATATGTTAAAAAATATATATAGTAACCACACTCCAGGTTTAAAAAAAAGATTCTCTCCTCCCCCCGCCCTCCCACTCACACGAGTGTGCGTGCTCGCTCTCTCAAATAAAAGAAATCTTTAAAAAAAAAAGTGAACGTCTCATATATTTTCTCTTAAAAGAAAGCTCGAAAAGAACAGACACCTTGCTTGGCCTAAGGAACCCTCTAAAAAAAAAATGTGCTTATAATTTTTGATTCTTTTGTTTTTAGATCACATGAAAGGATTAAGAGCCCCTCCCTTGAAAAGAAGGCTGGAGTGCAGGTAATTTATTTTCCTCCTTATTTGTGTGTTTTTTTAAGTAAACATTTTAATTGAGCTGTGACTGCTACACAGGGAATTAAGTCAATCTGAGAAAGACAGTTATCATATGATTTCTCAGGGAAGTACATACATCGTAAGGGGACACAGTCAGATGAGCTTTTGTAGGTGAGCACATCTATGAAGCTTCCACCCAGATGGAGAGATAGAATAGGGCCCGTGTCCCAGAACAGAGCCCCGTCACTCCTCCAAGTCAGTCCTGGTCTCAAAGGCATTGTGTATTCTGACTTTTTGTCATCATGGTTTAACCTTGGCTGATTGTGAACTTTGTAGAATCATACTGAATAGACCCTTCCAGTTGTTTTCTTTCACTCGACATTCTAATTGTACGATTCATCGTGCTGTTGGGGGTAGCAGTAGTGTGTTCATTTTCTTTTCTCCCTGTGTGTGTAGTTCTGTTGCGAAGACAGTCATAATGTTTTTGGATCTTCAAGCAAAAGTACTGCGTTCTTTTCCTACAGTCTGCTTTGCCTAAATGTCAATTCCAAATCCCCAAGCTATGTATTGGAAAGAGCCCTTGTTGACTCTTTACCTTCTGACCCAGGGGATGCCAGTCTTCTCTGCAAAGTGGTGTCACGAGTCTGTGTTCGTGATGAGCGGTAGCCTGTATTCACTGAGTACTTATATAAATGCCAGCCCTATGTGTTGTTTAGTTTGGCAGTTTCTTTGAGAGCCTGTGACAAGTCTGGCACTGTGCTGGACATTGAGGCTATACTAGTAACAACACAGATGAAAATCCCTATCTTCTTGGAGCCAACATCCTCATTAGATCCTCTTGATAACTTTTGAATAGATACCATTATTATTTCTATTTTGCAGATGAGGAAACTGAGGAACCAGAGAGGTTAAATTAGTTGCCCAAGGTCACGCAGCCAGTAAGTGGCAGGACCAGGATTTCAACCAGGTCTGTCTGATTTTTGAGCCCGTATATTAGTTATCTATTGCTGCGTAACAAATTACCCCCAAACTTAGTGACTTTAACCCACTAATCATTTGTTCTCTTTCTCAGTTTCTGTGGGTTGGGAATGCTGACAGAGCACAGTTGGGGGTGCTGGTTTCTCCCTGGCTGGGTGTCCTAGGGGGACTGCCATTATCTGGGGCCCATCAGTCAGTGTTTGACACCGAGGCTGAGAGGAATCAGGCAGCTGGGGCTTTTGGGCAACTCTGTCCCTGGAAAACTCTTCAGCATGGTGATTTCAAGGTAGCCGAACTTCTTAAATGGAGACTTGGGGCTTAAAAAGTGTATGTCCCAAGGGAGAGCTAGCAGGGAACTATGTAGCCTCCACAGTCCTGAGACCTCCCTCTGTCACATTCTGTTGGTTGAGGCAGTCACAAAGACAGGCTGAAGTGGGGGGGTGGTTAAAATAGACCCCTCTGTCAGCAGAGGGATTTCCTTATCCATCTGTAAACAGAGCATGTGTGGTTGGGAATATATTAGTGTGGCCATCTTCGGAAAATACGGTCCATCACAGACTGTTCTTAACTGTAAGCTTTGTTTTTGAATTTAAAAATTTGAAAGCATCCCCACCCCTTTCCCTTCTTGAGAGGTAGCTTCATGTGGCGGAATCGTTTCAGACATTCCTGATCAGGTACAAACATATATCTTTAAACTCAGAGTGATGGGGGACCCGCTTTTGAGGAAGTCAGAGGGCACAGTATATTCTCTTCTTTTGCTTCTTCCCTGTTGTTCCTCTGCACTCTTTTTTTTTTTTTTTAATTTAATTTAAATTTTAAGGTGGGGCTCCTGGGTGGTGCAGTCTGTTAAGCGGCTGGCTCTTGATTTCAGCTCATGCCATGATCCCAGGGTCGTGATCCCACCGTTGTGGGATCAAGACCCCTTGTGGGCTCCACGCTCAGTGGGGAGTCGGCTTGAGATTCTCTCCCTCTCATTCACTCATCCCTTTTCTCTTTCTCTCAAAATAAATTTTTTTCTCTCAAAATAAATAAATATATCTTTAAAAATAAATTTATTTTTAAGTAATCTCTGCTCCAAATGTGGGGTTCTAGCTTACAGCCCCAAGATCCAGAGTTGCACACTCATACCGACTGAGCTGGCCAGGCACCCCCTCTCCCACTTCTGTCTTGATGGGACCTAGATGGTTACAGGTGGTGGCATGTGGGGAACTGTTCTGACATTTGTTGAGCCAGCTCAGTGTCTGAATGATTTGAGATAACTAATATGTGATGAAATGTATTTTTCTGGTCACCCAGATGGCTCGCTATGGATTGTACTGACCCAGCTTTTCTAAATCTCTTCTTTCAGCTTGAAGGTTTGCTTATACTGTTCGCCTGTTACTAAAGAGTTGTTGTTAACTAGCCCGAAGTACAGATTTTGGGAGAAACGAATCGTAAGTCTTATTTTTTTATGACACTAATTCTTTACCTCAAGGGGAAATATTTTTCGAGGCCGATTAAACAAAGCATTGGGATTATTCAAAGCCCAGTTAGTCCTACACTGTATTTATCCACATTAATTACGGTATTGATGTTTAGTCTTTGTAATTCCTCAGTTTAGAAGAGGCCAACATTTTGTTGTTGCAGGTTTGTATTTCTTGTCCATCAGTGGCTTGATCTCAGGTCTTTGTTTTGTTGGTTTAATTTCATTAACTCTTGCTAAATTGCATTTTAATTAGCAATAATCACACCTTGGATAAACCTCATTGGCTACAATACTGCCACTGTGTAAAGCTGCTAAGTTGCATTTTAATATTGCAGAGTGTGAAATGTTTAACACAACTGATAAATCCTATTGCTTAGGTCATGACATAGTTTAGGAAAAATGAACACATCTTATGGGTTACGATAAAGGGATAACAACTGGAATAAAAATAGAGTGGACAACTTTGAATCTGACAGAATAAAATGGATCTGTCCAATGGAAAGCATATAGTGAAGGGAGAAACAAAGGAATGGTATATGGAAAATGTAAGATGCTAGGAAAAGTCCTATTATAACAGTAATTACTAGTTAATTTTCTAACTAATGATTTTCTTAGTTTAGGTTAAGGGAAAAAAAAAGGAAAGTTCCAATAGTCTTAGTCTACAAGAGGTTTAGATTAAACAAAAGGATAAATGCAAGTTGAAATGGAGTTAAAAAAACAAAAAAAGGGAAAGGTGTACTAAATAATTAGAAGCTAAAAAATCCAGAGTGGCAGTTTTTTTTGTCATACAAAATAGAATCGAAGGTGAAAAGAGATCTTGTTCCCAAGAGGATGTTATTTATTGTCAGAAGGAGCAATGGATCAAGAAGATTTGAACTTAACATGCAATTGACAAACATGCAATTGACAAACTGGACAAAGTCCTCACTGATCCCCCAGTGCTTGATCAGAGAAAGAGAAGCGCTGGGGAAATACAGTTAGGGTGCACTCTATGGTTTAAACCTTAAGTCATTGTGGGATCTGGCAGAGAAGGCCGAACAAGTGTCACGGTCTGTTTGATGTTTGCCTGCTGCTGGCTTTCAGCTCTCACATCCTCTTTCCACTTCTGCCCCACATTTGGGCAGGCTGATTTAAAAAAAAAAAAAAAAAAAAAAAAAAGCCTTGGGGCCCCTGGGTGGTTCAGTCAGTTAAGCATCTGCCTTTGGCTCAGGTCATGGTCGCAGGGTTTGGGATCAAGTCCTGCATCGGGCTCCCTGTCAGGAGGGAGACTGCTTCTCCCTCTCCCTCTGCCTGCCGCACCCTCCTCCTCTTTCTCTGTCAAATAAATTAAAAAATCTTAAAAAAAAAAAAAAAAAAGCCCACCCCCTCCCTTGGCATTGACGTGAAGTTCGAACCATGGGAGCCCAGGCACACCCCCCAACCACAATAAAAACCAGGGCCACTCACTGCTCCTGTCTCTGGGGTGTGGGGAAGAGCCACTTCCTCCCAGCTGGGGCACTGCTCTACTCTCTGCAGAACCTACCACAGTGTGGGAAAAACAGTGTTTTCACACCCTGTTGGTTCACGTGTGGCACATTCCGGCTCGACCTCTGACCGTAATTGGGGTGGGGTCCATCCCCACTCCACAGAGTGGCCCAACGCTAAGGCTGTAACCTCGGCCTGGTATTAGGTCTGAGGTTGCCATGGACCTGCAGGTCAGCGGCAGGAAGCCAAGTGGAGAGAGAAGTGGAGAAGGGCAGAGATGGGCTGGAACCCACAGGGAAGCCTGGAACCCCTGTCTCGCACTCTCCCCACCCTGGCTAGTGCTGCAGCCCCCTGGTGCTACTGAGTGCCACGCTCCTGGCCCAGGCCTTTGAGAAGCTGAAGGTGGGGGTCACTGCAGTCCTGTCCTGTCTGCCAGCTGAGCCAGCAGGTTGCTCGTACTTGAGCTGGTAGACCTTCTGGCTGTCGGTTCACTTTGGCCTTCCAGATCTCACACGGCGGTTTCCTGTGGCCAGTGCCAACCTGGAGGTATGTGTGGAGGGGACCTCTGGGACAGTTGCAGTGCAGCAAAGTCAATGGAGTACGAGGCCACCTCTCAGTCTAAGAGCAGCTAGGACACTCAGTGCTTGTAGCTCGAGTGCTTCACACACCATTCACAGAAACTGAAAGAGGGGGGCACCCGGGGGGGTGCAGTCAGTTAAGAGTCTGCCTTCGGCTCAGGTCATGATCCTGGGGTTCTGGGATCGATCCCCACATCAGGCTCCCTGCTCAGCGGGGAATCTGCTTCTGTCATTCTCCCTGCTTGTTTTCTCTCTCTCTCAAATAAATTAAAAAAACAAACAAAAAACTGAAAGAGGAAGGAAGCAGGAAATAAGATAGATTTGAAGAGCTTGATTAATAAATGTGAACTAATAGCAATCGGAGGCACCCAAAGGGAAAGCAAGATCTTTGGTATATAGGAAACATTTACAATTGACCATGTGCTGTGTCACAAAAGTAGGAAATCCTACTGGTCTGTTCTCTGAGTACAATGCGGTGTTGCTGAAATCCTAAATAAAAGGAGAGCTAAAATCATCCCACACATGGGAACTGAAATACTAAGCAACCTTTAGGTTAAAGAGGAAATTGTAAAGAAAAGCATGTAATACTTAGAATTGCTGGACAGTGAGAACACGACATGTCAAAATATGTGTAACACAGCTAAATTAGCGCTTGGAGGGAAATTGACAGCATTGAGTACATTTCTTAGAAAACAAAGACCAGAATTACATGGAATGAGTCTTCAACTCAGGGAAAGGAGCAACAAAGCAAATCTAAGGATATGGGAAAGAAGGAAATAATTAAGGCAAAAGGACAAGTTATCAATACAGAGACCAACAACTACCACAGAAAATAAAAGGCAAGATTAACAAAAGTAAAAGCTCATCTTCAGAGGAACAGAAATAGATTTCTGCCAAGATTAAAAAAAGATGCAGGGGCACATGGGTGAGATGGGTGGCTCAGTTGGTTGAGCAGCTGTCTTCAGCTCAGGTCATGATCCTGGATTCCCGGGATCGAGTCCTACATCGGGCTCCCTGCTAAGCAGGGGTTCGGCTTCTCCCTCTGCCCCTCCCCCTGCTCATGCTCTGTCTCTCTCTCTCTTTCTCTCAGTCTCCCTCTCAAATGAATAAATAAAATCTTTTTTAAAAAGATGCATATAGGGCGCCTGGGTGGCTCAGTGGGTTAAGCCTCTGCGTTTGGCTCAGGTCATGATCTCAGGGTCTTGGGATCGAGTCCTGCATCGGGCTCTCTGCTCAGCAGGGAGCCTGCTTCCTTCTCTCTCTCTCTCTTTCTGCCTGTCTACTTGTGATCTCTCTCTCTGTCAAAAAAAAAAAAAAGATACATATAAAAATACAGAATGATAAAAGGAAAGTATTAATAGTAGCAATGCATTTTTTGAAAATTAATGATAGTATATTTGATAATTTAGGCAAAGTGGATACCTGGCTAAGTAGGAAAATAGCAAATTGAGGCAAGAAAACTGGAAAACTTGAATAAGGAAACATTGAAGAAACTAAAACAACTTACAAAATCTCTTCTTCAATAAGCCCCAGGTCCAGATGGTTTTATAGGTGCATTTTGCCAAATGTTCAAAGGACAAATAATCCCCATATTGGATGAGTTTTTGTGGGATATAGTAAAGAGAGAAGCTGCTCGACCTTGTTGGCAGAATTGATAATGATAGCGCAAGGAGGAGAGAAGCCATTTCATGTATGACCACGTGAACAGCCTGATGAAGCTAACTGAATCTCAGAGTAGCAAAAAAGTGCGTTGTGAACACAGTCCAGTGTGTTTACTCTGGAATGCAAGGATACATATATTTTTAAGATTTTATTTATTTATTTGAGAGAGAGAGTACGAGTTGGGCACTGTGGGGGTGCAGAGAGAAGCAAACTCCCCACTGAGCAGAGAGCTGGACACAGAGCTCAATCCTAGGACCCGGAGATCATGACCTGAGCCGAAGGCAGACGCTTAACCAACTAAACCGCCCAGGCACCCGCAGAATGCAAGGATATTTTTAACACCTGAATCTCAGTTACTCTAAGTTTTAGGGTATCTGTGGACTGAAAAGATGAATTGTGTGCACTGATTCCTCAACTACCTACCGAATGCCCCTCATGCAAGTTGCTGTCATAGTAAAATGGGCCAGGCCACCTGGGAGCCCCTTGAGGCAGCCTGAATCTGAACAAGGCCAGCACCTCGTGGACAGATCCAGGCTGCGTTCTGCAGCAAGAAGCCTAAGCATGCAGAGCATGTGGCCATGTGTGTTACCGAGGCTCAAGTTCAGAGGGAGCAGGCAGTGGGAAGACAGGGACGGGGAGTGACGGGAGAAGAATTGAATTCATGGAAATAGAATTGCTGTGTCAAAGGATATGTAAGTTTAGGAGGCATTTAACCAACGTTGCCACCTCAGCCACAGGAAAGGCACTATGTTAGCTCTATCCTGTCTTCAAGCTGTTAAAACATTTAGTATTGCGGAGTCCAAAATTACGACTCAGAGAGTCCTAGTAACTTCTAAGTCTTTGTGTGTGTGTGTGTTGGAGATGGCAGAGCCATGTAAATCCATGAAAAACTGAAAACACTGAGTATGATAGGACATATGATCTCTTATTTTAATAGATATCCATTGAGATAGAAACTCCTACGCAGATACCTTTAGTTGATGAAGCATCAGGTGAGGTAAGTAAATACTAAATATAATTTTAAAAAATTATTATTTAATAACCTGATTGTTCTTCTCTGTGATTTTGAGTGCTGCTCTTACCGTAAATGAAAGTTATAGTAATTGCATGACTTTGTAGGGGGAAAATATATATGTATATATTTGTGTTGTATTTCTTTTCTACATGGTAGTCTACAAGGTAGACTTTGACTTCTGTGTGAATTGCTCTTTTTTAGTATATTACCTACTAATGATGAGAACTCTAGTTGTTAATACTACTGCTTGATGTCATTGTCACTTTAATTACATTTATTACGATATTCAGGATATAATATGGTGCTTAGTGCTTTTGTAGCAAATACATGTATTTGTGATTTTCTTATTTTCTGAATCATTTCTTATGGAAGAAACAGTGTCCACGTGGATCCAGTATATTTTTGTCCTTAAATTTAGAAGCAGGTACTTTTGCGTTGTGAATGTTTAATAATAAGCAAGATTATGGACCTACCTTTTATTTATTTATTTTTTTACCTCAAATTCTTCCTAGGGCCAGATGTATTTTCCTACTGTCTGGGAAATCTAGGTAGGATTAGTTCCACGGCCGGGTTATAACCTGCCCTTCCAAAACATTGAACTCCGAAGGGTGTCAGTCATCTCTCCAGGATCAGGCAGGGGCTGACTTCGCCTCTCCTCTCTGGAGAAGATCAGCCTGTGAAGTAGTCCTCACCAAATTGTTCAGCAAGGGAGGGCTTCAGGACTGGTTGGGGCGGGTTAAAAAGGAGGGGAAAAGGACAGCCTGAAGGTTCCCAGATGCTGTGCTGACCTCAGTTAGAGAGTGCTCGACTCCCCCGATTGCCTCGCTGTCTTGCCACTTACGTTAGTGAAAGACTAGACCTCCTCCTGTTGACTGGAGTCTGGCAGTCCCCCTCTGGTCCTGGGTTTATTCTCATGCACCATAGCTTTGTGTGTTGTGTCTCCAGAACTAACCATGGGACCTTGCTCTAATGGGGCCATCGGAATGAATGACAGACTTCTGGGAGGAATTGCCATTCTCACGTAATGAGCCGGTGTGTCCTAATACTGGGACAGTACTTGTAGAATGGTGACTTGGGGCAGGAAGAAAGCAGGCTTTTTTTTTTTTTTTTTTAGTTTAATAATAGCTTTATTGAGATATCATTCATATACTGTACAGTTCTCTCCATTTAAAATGTATAATTCAGTGGCTTTTCATATATTCACAGAGTTGTGTATTTACCACCACAGTTCTTTTTCGAATATTTTCATCACCCACAAAGAAACCGTGTACCCATTAGCAGTCATTCCCTACTTCTCCCTCCCCCAGCCCATGGCAACCACTACTCTAGTCTGCAGGATTGGCCTGTTCCAGACATCTCCTATCAATGGAATCGTACTGGACGTGGTCTTTTATGACTCACTTCTTCCACTTTGCATAATGGTGTCAAGGTTTATCCATATCATAGTATGATGTGAGGATTTCATCTCTTGCCATGGCCCAAATAACATTCCACTGTATGGGCAGATCATGTCCTGTTCACGTGCTCATCAATTGAGCGACATTTAGGCTTCTTCTACTTGCTGGCTAGTATGAGCGGTGCCACTGTGGACATGCATGCCCAGGTTTTCATGTGGTTGTCCGTTTTCATTTCTCTTGTGTGTAGCTCAGAGTCGAATTGCTGGGTTACACTGTCGCTGCGTTTAACTGTCATTCTGTGGGCAAGGATTTCACGCGTCTCCAGGATTTGGTGCGTGAGGAAATGAGGAAAGGCATACCACATTCTTGAGAAGTACCTGAATCTGTTTGATTAAGGAGAGCTGGGTCCTCATGATAACTTCTATTATTATTATTTTTTCTTTATTTTCTTTTTAGAAGGAAGAGGTTGTTGTGACTCTCTTACCAGCTGGTCATTGTCCAGGATCAGTTATGTAAGGGGGCTCATCTCTTTTGCCATTTTCTTACACATAGATATATGTCGCGTTTGTAGAAATAAATGTTTAGGGTCTAAAAAATAATATGTGTGGGGAGATTACTTCTTGAATATATAGATGGGAGATTACTTCTTGAATATGTAGATGGTAATTTCTTTAATCTTTGTTTCCAAATTGAACTTGGGGAATTGAGGTGAAGATCAAGTTGGAAATGTAGCTTTCTTACAATGGAAGTCTTCAATGGCCATTTCTCTGTTGACTTTGAATTTTCCTGTCCCATGGATTTTTCTCTCCATGAGTAGTGGAGAGTGCTAACATGTTTCAGGGGATGTCTGTTGGAAATGCAGTAGTACAGTCAATAATGTTTTCTAACCGCTCCCCCCCTGCCCCCTGAGAAAAGGTGGTGGCTGAATGCCTGGTATGGTGTAGAGCTATTAAAATCCCACTAATACCATATTGTAGGTGGCTATGTTTGGCAGGAAACGTTTGCTATGGGTTTAGTGTGTTTTTGCTTTATGAGGATGTTGTATGAAACTTAGAAGTCACCAAGATCTATTTCCTTCTCAGGTTTTTATTTCAAGGCAATAATGGAACAGTCTTGTACACGGGAGACTTTAGATTGGCAAAGGGAGAAGCTGCTAGAATGGAGCTTCTGCACTCTGGGGGCAGGTACTGGACTTTATGTAATTCCTTTTTCTTTTCTCTTTCTTTCTTTCTTTCTTTCTTTCTTTCTTTCTTTCTTTCTTTCTTTCTTTCTTTC